CTTGTTGAAACTAGATTATTCAAGCACGAAGTCTAGGATGAATGCTTGACTTGGCACCTGTGTGGAACTGGCCACAGAGCTCTCTCCAAGTGTCTAAACATGGGTGTTCTCCAGTCTCTTGTTAAAGACGTCACTGCTTTTATACCCCTTGGGAGAAAAAAGTTGCTTTTCCACTGTTGTTTCAACACAAAATAATTAGGTGTTAGACACATTACAGACATGAACCTTAAAGTGGACTCCCAGCTGAAATGGCAGGATAGTGCATACACACCAGAATAAAAGGCCCATGTAAAGGGAGGATGCCCGACGGGGTTCTGCCTTGTGCTGTCCCCCTTTATTTTCTTTCACTGTTACAAAATACATTGGGTTTAGTATCAAGGTTTTATCTTTCAGTCCCTTCCTTCTGCAACTGCAAAGTCAGTGGGGTTATATCTGTGGTAGCTGAGGGGTTTCCAAGAAGACACTTATGCAAGGGCCGTTGGCACATAGGGAGAAGAGGACCGGTGAGGTGCTGCGCCAGTAGGAAAGGAGACCTCTCCATCCTGAGTGTGGGGAGTGCTGGTGGACTGTCGGCATGAACCCAGCGCCGCATCGGTTCAGGAATGGCCATGGGGCAGGCAGCCCAGGGAGCCACACATCGGGCAGGAGGCTGCGGGGCCTGGAGGTGGGTTGGGAAGCCTGAAAACTGTCTGAATAGGAAGCTACACTGAGCCTCCCACAGGCCTCACCTTGAAACTCACATCTTTAGTCTCTCCTCTTGTGTTAAGATTCTTTGGGGGCTGAGATTCCCCTCTGCGTTTCCCTTGGCAGTGGCCTGCTAGTCGCACCCTTTGGTTCCGTTGACCTCACACCCTGCCTGCCTCACAGTCCTCTAGGGAGCTTGTGGACCAGTCCCAGTCATTGTCCCAGACCTGCTAGGCCAGAATCTAAGAAGAGTGCCAGGGACATTCTGTGCTGCGCCTGCTCCCTAAAGACTGCTGCATAGCCAGGTGTGGGAACCCCTCGGCTGGCCCCAAGTCCTAACGTTTCTTAAGGGAACAGAAAAACATAGCACAGGAGAGAACGGCTGTTCTGTGATGGCCTCCAAGCACCCTGTCCTCTCCTCACCCACTCTCCCTAGAGTAATCAGTTTAGACTTGAATGCATTGCCAAGGATTCTGGGAAACAGGAACTTGAATCCATCAGAACTGAAATACAGTCAACCTTGGGTTGGGATTCATTTAACAGGCCACGTCTTTTAAAACCATCAATGTGTTCTTCTCACTTTTTAAGAGTCTTAATAGGTGGTTGTCCATTGCCAACCTCACTATTTTTTGAGTTGGAGTCTTACTCCATTGCCCAGGCTGCAGTGCAGTGGCATGCTCATGGCCACCCCAGCATCAACCTGCCGGGCTCCGGTGATCCTTCCACCTCAGCCTTCCAAGTAGCCGAAACTACAGGTGCATGCTACCACGCCCAGCTGATTTTGTGATTTTGTTTTTAATTGTAGAGATAAGGTCTTGCCAAGTTGCCCAGGCCGTTCTTGAACTGCGGGCTCAGGCATTCCACTTACCTCAGCCTCCCAAAGTGCTAGGATTACAGGCTTGAGCCACTGCGTCTGGCCAGCCTCACTTTCTAATAGCTCAAGTGATTCCTGCCCAGATGTGAAGGCATATCAATCTTCCTTGCCAACGTTCTAGTTTAGAAATAATGACTCACAGTCTTGTCACAAAGAGCTTTCACAAACTGTCCTGGCATGTGATCCACACACCCACCCTGTGTGGGAAATGGGACAGTTGTTTCCAATTTACGGATCAGGAGATTGAGGCTCAAAGGTAGCTTAATTACCCAAACTCACCCAGCTAAAATTTGTAAATTGAAACAAACCCAGGTCTCTCTGAATCCCAGCTCTTTTTCCTTGAACACTGTACTCTGTAAAAAGCCCTACCTTGTCACCTCACTGATTTAAAGGTTTAGCTAATGAATAAACGATGCTGTAAAAACTGTTAAGTGCCATATAAATATAGGTTCCTTTGTTGCTGCGAGCAAGCCTTGGTCTGCAGTCAGCCAGAGCCTCGGAGGGCGACTACTGGTACCTTAGGAATCAATGCCTTCCATTTCTTTGTGCCCAGGCTCGAGAAGCCCTTCCACCTTTTCTAGTCCCTTCCTGGATCTTCCTCCCCTACCCAGGCCTAGCTCTAAGTACTGATTTTCTGCAACATTAAGATCCATTATTTTATCTACGATGATGACTGCAAATGCCACCTCTTTACAGGTGACACCCAGAATTCTATCTCCAGTCATGAGCATTCCTCTGAGCTCTAGATTCCAGGTCAAAGGACCAGGACACCTTTTGCACGTCTTACGAACATGACACACCTGAACTGGTGATTTCCAGCCCCTCTCCTGTGGCTGCCCTGGTCAACCCCAAGTCAGTATGAAGGCACCACCAAGAAATCACAACAGTTATCCTTCATTTCTCCCTCCCCTCTCGGCAGGTCCTGTCCGTTTTCCAGGTAATTCCAAAATAATCTTGAATACGAACCCTCTGGGGCTGCCTGGCCACCTCCTCCATTTCTGCCAGCAGCTTCCTGACTGGTCTTCTCACCTCTTCGTCATTCCCGACAACCCCTCCGCTCGTCAGCCAAAATGATTTCTTCTTTCCAGAGTGATCTCAAAACAGATCATAGCATTTCCTCTGCCTAAAACTGTCCAGGGCTTTTTCTCTGCACTTGAAGTAACATGGAGTCTCTCTGTACCTCTCTTCCCCTCCTGCTGTCACCCATGAGCTCCAGGCTCATAGTGGCAGTTCCTCAGCCTGGAATGTGCCTCCCCATTTGGAAGTGTTCCTTCAAGCCTAAGCTTACCCTGTTCCTCAGACAGGTCTTCCTCCACCACCTGTCTAAAGGGATTTTCTCCCTTTCCCCATTTTTCTCCACCTCCATACCTATCTCCCTCATTACGCTTTATCACAACCTGCATTTTTCTTTTGACTTTTGGCCTCCTAACCCAGTTTGTGGCATGTGGTAGATTCCCAATAAGTACTTGCTGACGAATGAATATTTTGCTTCTGAAGACTTGAAACACTTTTCCAAAAACTTCTGTTCCTCCCTTCTCCTACCCCTGGCTCCAGGAGTCATTTTGAAGAGATCAGATCCCCAGCTTTGAAGTTCTCAGCTTCCGCTGCCCTCGGCAGGACCCACAGCCCCACCAAGAGAAGGGCGCATGGAAGAAGAAGGCGTAGGGATGCTGGAGAAACACCAGCAATGACCTTGACACGGCCTTCCACATGTGAATTCATCTAAATGTAAATACTCACTAAAATAGAAATATTGGCATTTCTCTGGCCACAGAATAGATCAGGCCTATAAGATAACTGAAGTAGGTTGGGACTGCTAGACTCCAGGCCCCTTCTGGTCTGCATCTGTTTCCCAAGAGCCTGTGTGTGGTTCCCCTTACACCCAAATCTGAGCCATGAAGCAGTTCCATTAACCTTCGTTGGTCAGCAACTGTTGCATTTTCACGTCCCCCTTTTCAGTCTTAGCACCAAAACATGCCAATTCACTTCACGTGTATATTTTCATTTCATCCTTGCCTTGTTGCTTTGTAGTGCCTCGGGTTTCAAAATGTATTAGAAAACCCATGCTGTTACCACGAGGGGGTTTCAGGGGACTCCCCTCTATGTGCATGTTAATGAGAGGGCCCAGATACCTTCTGGGCCAGGGCAACTCCCACAGCAGGCTCTGGGCAGTTCTGGGAAGCCAGGCCCAGCCACGGGGGCCCCGGCTTTAAGTTCACTCTGGCACAAAAGCAGGACAGCTCCCCAAAGGCCACAGGGTGACTCTTGGGTGGCTTTACCCATCTACTGAGGCCCGAACTGTCTCCTCCCTTCCTTAAGAACTTCCTCTTTCATTCTGCTGAAAACCACAGCCAGACTGCAGAGTGGGGCTCCTTTTCATATCCTCCCAGTAGGCCTCTATCACCTGCTTTCTCCCAGCAGTTTCCGTTTCTGGTCCTTGACTGCTGACATCTCCATCAGCAGCACCTCTTTTGAGTTCTGTCTGGCTTAGGGTTCGTTCCTGGTTCCAGAAGCTATCACTACCCGCTTCGAACCTGCTCTTGTTTTTCCTCGAGAATGAAAATCACGCAGTCATGGCAACTGGCTTAGCTCTCAGGGCGGCGAGCTCCACACCCAAGCTCACTGGCTGCCCTGTCCTCCCATCCCACAGCAAGCAGTACATCTGCAAATACCTCCTGCTGGGACGAAAACCGCCCTTGTTGCCCTGACTAGAACCAAAAGGAAAGAGGCTCCCCCAGTTCTCCCCTGAGGAGTATCTCCTCTCTCTTTCTTTCAAAATTAGAAAGTCAAACTACTTGTTCAAGTTTACCACAATCCACTGAGTTTTCCTGGGTCATGGCAGCTGTGGCTAAGATTCTGAGGAGCCCTGGCTGCCTCAGGAAGGTAAAGAAGTCCAAAGCAGGGACTCCGTACAGGAGCTCAGTACCCCCTTCCCACCTCTACCAGATGACATGAGCATCCGTAGATGGTGACACGAGCCTGGGGATTCCACAGAAAAGACAAATGGGACATGGGATGGTACAGAAATGCAGGATGTCCAGGGGGAAGACTCAACTAAGCTGTGCAAAAACGCTCGTGTGACACCGTTCACTGAGTACTTTTCTGTGGTTAAAAAATCAATTTATATTTATAAATTATTTGTGTAAGAACGTGACTTTCCTTTCAGACAAACGTTTAATCATAGCCCGATGCCTATACATTTTAAAATCCTTTGTCTCTTCCATCTTACTGTGGGCTCGTCTGTAACTGTTTCTGCTGGGAGCCCACTTCTCCCATTTTGCTGGGAAGTTGAGAACTAGACTCTGACAGGAGGCGGCTCTGATCCTCCCTGTTCCCAGCACACACCGGGAAGTGTAACAAGATTGTTGGAAGAAGTCAAGTTTGGGTTTCATTGTCCCTTCTCCGTGACCAACGAAGTCAAAGGCCAGAGCTATTTTCAACCGTTCCCAAGTGTCTCTGCTCACCCGAGAGGAGGGCCCTACAGCGCCTTGTCAGCGTGCTCCTCACCAGCCGGGCGCTGGGCCTGTCGCCTCTGCTGCACCAGCTGCTTGTCCAGCTCTCGGAGCTGCTTCAGAAAGCCCCGGTTGGGTAGGACACAGCGGTGCTTGGCCACTTGTTGGATGGCGTCCACCAGGGTCATGTTTCTGTGGATCATCAGGTAGGCCAGGACCAGCGTCGCCGACCTGCTGCGGCCCATGACACAGTGAACCAGGATCTTATCTGCGGATGGAGTAGGGAGAAGAAAACCCACACTGAAGGGGCGGGTAACGCGGTGGGTGAGGGTGTGCGTGTGGAGCCCAGGCAGGACCCACTCACATCCTGATTCTCACTCTCCTGCCCTTTACCTGGGCGAGTTACTCAGCAGCTGTGCACCACAGTTTTGCCATCTGTAAAACGGGGATACTATCAGTGTCTTCTTCATAGGGTTATTGTGAGGGTAGAGAACTGGGTAAAGAACTATTTTATCACCATCTGTGTTTGCTACTCTCCACAAGCCAATCAGGCGGCCCTCCAGTCCCACCCCTCCATGCTCCTGAGGTCTCTAGTGCGGCTGGGTCACCTTTTCCTTGTTCACCACGGCCAGAAGGGAGAGCAAGAGGAAGGGTTCCGATTCTTTTTTTTTTTGAGTTGGAGTCTCTGTCTCCCAGACTGGAGTGCAGTGGCCGCTCCCGGCCACCGCAGCCTCGACCTGCTGGGCTCTGGAGATCCTTCCGCCTCAGCCTTCCGAGTAGCTGGAACTACAGGTGCGCGCTACCACGCCCGGCTCATTTTTGATTTATTGTAGAGATGAGGTCTCGCCAAGTTGCCCAGGCGGGTCTTGAACCCGCGAGCTCAGGCAATCCACTCACCTCAGCCTCCCAAAGGCACGAGATTGCAGGCTGAGCCACCGAGCCCGGTTGGGTTCCGATTCTTGATTGCTGTGTCAGATCTGGGGGAGGCTGGCCCTAAGGTCTCAGCTGGCAAGACTGTGCTCCCAAGGTGTGGACATGTCCAGCCAGATGAATGGCTACCTCTGGCATTCTAATCCCCACAGACTGTTCCAGAGGCTGCCTGGCCCCTGGCCAGCTCTGCTGATAACTAAAGCGTTTCTTCCTCTCCAGCTAAAAAAAGGTAATTCTTTCTGTCATGACTAAATACTTGAAACAGATGAAAGCTGTAGTTCATTAAGCCTTTTGGGGGCCTGAAGTCTGTTACGAGGAGAAAGAGGAGGAAGGGAGGTGGAGGGGGTGGGAGAAAGAGCGGGAGATGGAAAAGGGGGTGGGAGAGAAAGCCGAAAGGAGGGAGAGAAGACATTCAGCTCTGGAAGGAGCTCCTAGAGCTGAATTTTGTTTTCAAGACTAGGAGTGAGTGTTGTCAGACATGTGAGCTTGGTAGGTCTCCCTGGAGTAAAGGGCCTGCTCCTCCCTAGAGGCCTTAGATCCTGACTGAGCCCAACCACTTTCCTTCCAAGGCTTGTCCTCAGGCTCTCAGGGCACTGCTCCCTCTTTACTCGGTAGCTCTGCCAAGCACGACTTTTTAGGGTTCAGCATCGCGTGGTGGGAAACTGCTCTCAGGAGAGTTCAGGAGAGACGGGCCAGGCAGGCTGCATTTAGACTACTCGTCACAGACCTCACCAGAGAAAGCAGGAGGCTGTGAGTTAGACCCAGCTGGGACTAGGGCCCTGAGCAAAGGTAGCACTGTCAGAGCTGCCATTTTCTAGATCAAAGGCTTTCAGATTTTTTCTGTGTGACCCCCAGTAAACACAGCAGGATAAAAGTCACACTTGATGTGTACATGGCCTCACTCTGCCTCCATATTCTTCCAAGCACTTTCTGTATTTTGTCATAGTCAATTCTCACAACAACCTGATGACATAGATAAAATTATGATCTCCATTTTACAGACGAGGTAGCTGAAGTGCAGAGAAGTGAGTAGGTAGCTAGGAAGTAGCAGACCCATGACTGATTTGAACCCAGGCAGCCTGACACCAGGGTGTGTGCTCTTAAATGCTATTTGGTATACCAAGTGTGTGAGCACCAGACAAAAGTTTCACAAAATAATACACACCTTTACTACATGCAATGCATGCTGCTGATGTTTTCTACTCTTTTCTAATCTATTCCATTTTTATAGAAAAAGAAATGCTGGTCACACCCACCAAATTGATTTTATGATCCACTAATAGGTCACAGTCTGTGTTCGGAAAATGCTGGTTTCTATTTAATTGTTCCCCTTTGGCCTTAACCAAAAGGTGAATTCCCACACTCTTATAAAGAAAACCAAACCCAGAATCTCTACTGCTCCTCAAATGCATGTTTTCAGAGGTGGTTGGAAGGTAGGTCTCTGTCACTCAAATCAGACATACCCACCAGCTCTACTGTCACCCCAGCCAGGTGTGCACTCTTGTAAGAAGCCTCCTTTCTCAGTTTTAGGGGATGCCCTTTGCCTGTCTCCCACTCACTATCTGGGAACCTGCCTTTTTCAGTAATGTGCAACGATATTCTGCTAGACTTCCTTCTTCTTCCCAAACAGTTCTAGGTGTGTGGAAGTGCTGAGAAAAAGAGTGTAAGGTGTGTTATGAACTGCCAGGGCTGGGGGGAGACAGGGCAGGAGACCCTTTCAACACTTGGTGAAAATCTAGCCTGGTTAAAACTTATTAGAAGCACCAGAGAACCAACCTCCTGCACAAAAGCAGACTTCACTTATTTATTCATACCTACCTTATCCATAATAGATTTTAAGATGGCTTCAAAAGCAAGCTCTGGAGTGTTTAAGAAAAAGGACACACTAAAGGAGAGTGGTCTTTAGAGCCTCACGACATCTGCCCTGGAGTTTCTTAGAAGATTTCATTAAATTCAAGCCACACTAATTCACCTCTGAGGGCGCTGCGTCGAGAGCCGCTGAGGCAGCCCAACTGGGGCTCCTGTGGCGATATTCTGTCAGTACTTCTTTTTTCTGATGAAAAATGACAAGTTCAGTTGTTTCAGAATCTATAACCAGCTGGCATGCCTCCCCATCCATGATATTTAGTGACCTCTTACATAGCCAAGTCACTAGGTGCTCAAAATAAGGGCAAAGGACGCTTCTGTGAGGTCTCCATGACAGAAGGAATCCCTGCTGGCAAGCAGGGGTCCTGATGGTGCATCCTCTGATTAGCTCTGTGACCCTAGTCACGTCACTTGGCTTCTCTGGGCCTCTGTTTTCCCAGCTGTCGGAGCAGGACAGTGGACTAGATTCCCTCTGAGATTTTTTTCCAGTGTGATTGAGGTTGCCTGGGGAGTTCTCTCAGAAGGGCCAGATCAGGGAAAGGGATGGGAGACGCGGGCCCCCGGGGGCTGATTACAAGCCATGAGGACAGCTCCGCAGGGCTACAAGGAAAGTTTTTCAAAAAATGATTGTGAGGGGCAGAGGGTAGGAAAACTGTACATGTGGCTGAAACCAATCAACGAAGAATATGAAAGACAGGAGAAAGCAGAGAGAGATGCCTTGGTTTTTGACTGGACTGACGTACGAGGCCGGGCTTGGTAGCTCAGCCTGTAATCCCACGCTTTGGGAGGCCGAGGTGAGTGGATTGCCTGAGCCCTAGGGTTCAAGACCTGCCTGGGCAACTTGGTGAGACCTCATCTCTACAATAAATCAAAAAATTAGCCAGGCGTGGCAGCGCACGCCTGTAGTTCCAGCTACTTGGAAGGCTGAGGTGGAAGGATCGCCGGAGCCCAGCAGGTCGAGGCTGTGGTGGCCGGGAGCGGCCACTGCACTCCAGTCTGGGTGACAGAGTGAGACTCCAACTCAAAAAAAAAGGGACGTACACGTGGGTCTGGCACTAAAATGCTGCAGTAGTGTCCCTTGGTTTTCCAGTGCATGATGAGACATAACCAGGCCACCCACTGCATGTGGCAGGCAGGCTGGGCACCTGGGGCCTGCTGTAGTCTATGGCAGTGCTTTTGCTTTGTTATTCTGACCACTCCAGGCACAGGTTGCAAACTGATGGCCATCGGATTGCTTTAGCTTGCCCTTTGCAACATTGTAAGAATTTCAATTTGCCATCAACACTTAAAAAGTGAGCAATTTTATAGTAAAATCTAGATTGGAGATTTTTCTCCTGAAAAGTCGGAAGATCTAGCATATTTGCACCGATTCTCACAAGAGAAACGCTGGCTGAGACTGAGCGGCAGCTGCCCCTTTGAATGGGATACAGAGCCCCCTACTCAACCACAAGCGCTCCCTACGCACAGCCCCTACCTTCCATGCAGCCAGCTCCATTCGTTTCCACTCTACCAGGTTCCAAAGAGTTGGCCGCTGACTTGAGGAAATCTTTGGATACACAAGTGCAGAGGGCACCGAGAAGGGGCCCGGCCTCCCACCTGGCAATGGGGTCACATCCTGCTCCCTGTCCCTGCACCGCCACCCATTCATTCTATCCCCAGCGCTTTCTCTGACCAGTGTATATGCTCTTCTCTCTTGACCCTTTCTTTGCTGGGTGCTTTTGACCACCTAGTCTAACTGGCATGATCTTCACCAGCCTGACACCTCCTCAAGATGCTCTGTGATCTGCCCGGGGTCTAAGCATCTGACTTGAGAGACTGATTCTTTCCTGACTTGGCAGTGAAGGCAGACTCTAAAATGGCGTGCCAGGAACCTAAAACAGGCTTTCATGTGAGTATATCTTACTAGTTCAAAGTTGGAATGTCTTTTTTGGGGGGGGATTGGAAACTTTATGATGATGATGTGCATGTGCTGTGTGGTCATATGCTTCACAGTACATGAGCCCACTTTATCAAATACATCCGAAAGCCTGCTGTGCACCAGGTTCTGTGCTAAGTGCTTGAAGCGCGTTACTGCTGATCCTCATTATAACCTTTCAAGGTAAATATTTTCATCACCAGATGGAGAAACCAAGGCTCAGAGAAATCACATCGTTAGTAAGTTGTGCGATAGGAATCTGAACCCAGCCCTGTGTCCTCCAAAGTCTGCTAGACCCCTTTCGTTAAGGGTAAGGTCTGAGATATAGCAATGGCAAGTGAGTGCACTAAACAGAAACTGAAGGATTGAGTTGTTGTAGTCTTTTGTTTTTTTCATGTCAAATATGTTTTCGGTTAACTTTAAATCCTATGAGGTGAATTGCACCTCATGGTGATGACTCAGTCCAGTTGCTTTTTTGATTTTGCTTGGAAATCAAGAATGTGCAGAGCATAAAATAAGGTTCATAAATAGACTCATAAAAGAACAGCTTAGAAATGAGGCGTCTTCTAATATGAGCTCGTTAGCTCTATGGGTTTTTCTTTTCATTGTGACATTGCTTTCTGAACTAGAATAATGACAAATCGTTGGTGGCTATGGCTGGCTGTGGGATCAGAGCCACCTAGGGATGGCCACTGAGGTGGCCAGGGCCACCTTGGGATGACTGTCCAGTAGAACTGGCCTAGGTCCAGTCTCAGGTTGCAAGTTCCTGAAGTAGGCCATTTGGCTAGTCAGTGAGCCTTGTAATCACAACCTCTTGTGGCAAGAAAGTTTTCAGTAACTGGATATCCTGAGTTACGTGATGGCCCCACCAAGGGGTGTGTGACACATTGGGCTGAAGTCAGAGCACAGATTAGGGAGCTGAAGTCCCTCTGGCCTCTGTGGAATGCCACCAAAGTACACCCTGCAGCAACAACTGCATATTGTCTTACAGGATGCATACCTAAGTCATGCTCTTCTCTCCAAAATAGCCTTGTAGCTTTTGCTGAATTAGGCCAGCTAAAAGTGCATTTTGAGCACAAGGACTAGTACTGTGATTTTAAAAATGGCTAATTAACGCTGGGAAACTTGGACATGGCAGATGCAAAACCCAGATTCTCAAGTGCAGCTTGCCATAGTAAAGCCCAGGCTGTCAACTTCTATGGGAGGCCTCACTAGGCTGACTGGAGGCATGGGGGCTCGGCTGCGAACTTGGTTGGTTGGCAGGATGATTTAAAGTCTCTCCATGGTTTCCTACTCAAATCAGCTCCCTGAGGATATCCTGACACCAAGGCCCTTGGCTATGAGTGGAGTTTAGGCCCAGGCACAGTTAGTGTCTCAGCCGCGGTTCCAGACGTGAGGGGCGCCCAGACCGCCCCCGCCCTTTCGAGGGATGGCTGATGTTCTTGAGCGAAGACTCAGACCAAAGGGCCCTTCCTCTACATTCTCCCGACTCCAATTCCGCAGAGCGGCAGTCAAAGCCAGAACCCCCTCAGTGACACACGCGGTGGGACAGGTCCTCAAGTCTCCCAACCTCCCGGGCCTCAGACCTTTCTTCCTCACGCACAAGTAACCAACCCCTCCTTTCAGACCAACGTAGATTTCTCACGCGCAGAACCCGCTCCCGGCCGGGGCCTCGGGAGGGGCGGCCGGGAGCCGGGGGCGGGGTCCTGGCTTGGGGGCGGAGCCTGAGGTGGGCGGGGCCTTGGGTGGGGCCCGGCTCCGGTCTGGGGGCGGAGCCGTGTCTGTGGGGGGGCGTGGCCACGGGCGGGCGGCGGGACTCTTACGGTGGTCGTCGCGCAGCGCGCTGTGGATGAAGGCGGCTGCCGAGGAGAAGAAGACGCTGAGGTCGAAGGTGGGTAGGTCGTCGGCCTCGACGCCGTGGTACTCGATGTCCACGTCGCGGTAGTAGTCGGGTCCGGTGTCCACGTTCCAGCGGCCGTGCGCCGCGTTCAGCACGTGCGTGAAGCCCGCCTTTTGCAGCCTGTAGCGGTCCAGCGCCGTCGCCCTGGGCGCAAGGGGGAAAGGCCGGTGGGCTGCGCCGCCCCGACCCCGCCTCCGGGGAAACGCGGGGCCGCGCACGGCTTCCTGCCGTCTATGCTGTTTTCCGAAATAAAGACTAGTGGTTGCGAATGGGGTCCCAAAGCTCTGCTCTGACCTAGTCCTCTAGGCCGCCTGCACCATTTCGTGCTTCTGGCTCGACTGCTGCAAGAAGGGAGAGAGGACTGGAGGGTGGAGTAGACGAGCTGTTCATCTGCTCATCCATTCTTTCTCTTTCACTAAATACAGCAGAGCCTGGGGCTGGACGCCACGGTGGTCGCAGGTCTAAGATGACCTGCCAAATCCCTCGAAAGGCGGCCAGGATAACCTGAGACCTTAAGGCGGCCCTCTCTTCTGAACCTCTGGATATTTATAGGGTTTGGAAGTCGAGGCTCAACGGAATGGCTTAAAACAAGTCTTTCCATAAGAAGATTTGATTGGTATCAGGCAAAGCTCTCAAACTGATGTTGGCAGGATTGGTGGGCACAATGTCAATGTGAAAATGTTTCTTTGGTTCGTCCTTTGCTTAATTTGGCAAAGCATTGTTTTGAGGAGAACTTTTTGAGCAGTCTGTTGTTTGAGTTGATTTGAGGGCTGTTCTGGAGCCAGCAGTGAAGTTACTTAAGGGGTTATAGCAGCCATTCTCAACCTTTCTGACTTCAGTGACAGGTTTCGTAGAAGACAATTTTTCCGTGGATGGGGTTGGGGGGAGAAGGATGGTTTCTGGATGAGTCAAGTGCATTACATTTATTATGCACCTTATTTCTATTATTAAACTGTAATATATAATGAAGTAATTATTATGAAGTTACCATTTTGGTATGAGTCTGCAAGCAGTTGATTTATTATGATCTCTGTGCAGTCAGACCTCGCTGCTAATGTTGATCTGTATTAGCAGCCACTTCCTCCACCTCAGACCATCAGGCACCAAATTTTCATAAGGAACGTGCAACTTAGATCTCTCGCATGTGCAATTCACAGTAGGGTTTGCACTTTTGAAAATCTAATGCCACTGCTGATCAGACAGAAGGTGGAGCTCAGGTGGTAATGCCATGGAGAGCAACTATAAATTCAGGTGAAGCTTCACTTGCTTGCCCGCTACTCATGCTGTGTACCAAGTACTAACAGGCCACATGACCAGTCCCTGGCCCAGGGATTGAAGACCCCTGGGTTACAACCTTATCTTTCTAGACAAAGATTTCCAGGAACAAAGCATAAAGACATGTTGAGGTAGGTGGCCTTGGAACATGACTAGAATAAAAGGCAGCATGGTGAGGGCTGGGGGCAGAGGTGGGCTGCCAGAGAAAGCAGTTCTTCCTGCCTGGTAGGTGTGGGGAGAGCCTTTATGTGACTGTGGGAGAGGGGCCTTTGAGCCCGCGTCACTGTAAGGGTCAACACTTGGCGATGGAGGGGAAGAGGGAAGCAAAGGCACACCAAGTCAGGGAACGAGCACGACCTAAGGTATGACGGCTGGAGATATTGAAGGCCTTTCAGAAAACGTTCATTTTTTTCTGTAATCAATCATGCCCAGATGATGAGTTCGACTCTTGTGTGCTAGACACTGTCCTGGGTGCTGATGGTAAAGACTTGAACAAGTTAGTCAAGGTCCCTAGGGAAGTTCATATTCCCATAGGGATTGCAAATAAACAACAAACAAATAAAGATACTTTTAGATAGCAGTGAGAGCTGCGAAGGAACTGAAACCGAGAGACATAATGCAGAATGACTGTGGGCCTGCTTTCGGCAAGGTGGTCAGGAAAGTCCGATGCAGGGAGGTGGCATTTGAGCTGAGACTGAGGGATGAGAAGAAGCACGGCTGAGGAAGAGGTGGAAGAAAGTGTTTTATCCAGGCAGGGAAACAGCAAGTGGTAAGAACAGAAAGGAAACCAGTGTGGCTGAAGCAGCAAGGGGATTAGTCGTACAAGAATTTGGAAAGGTAGGAGGGGCTGGATCATGATGGGCGCTGTAGGCCATAGGGAAGAGTTTGGATTTTACTGTAAGTGTGGTGGAATGTTCCCAGAAGGTTTTTGTTTTTCTTTTTTTGAGACAGGATCTTGGTCTGTCACCCAGGAATGCAGTGGCATTCCTTGGTCTGTCACCCAGGAATGCAGTGGAATGCAGTGGCATGATTGTAGTTCACTACAGCATTGAACTCCTGGGCTCAAGTGATCCTCCTGCCTCAGCCTCCCAAGTAACTAGGACTACAGATGCACACCACCACGCCTGGCTAATTTTTTACTTTTTTATAGAGATGAAGTCTCACTGTGTTACCCAGGCTGGTCTTGAACTCCTAGCCTCACACGATCTGGAGGGTTTGAAGAGAAGGATGGGCCAAGCTTGGTGGCTCAACCTGTAATCTCAGCATTTTGAGAGGCCGAGGCCAGTGGATTGCCTGAGTCTGCGGGCTCAAGACCAGCCCAGGTAACTTGGCGAGATCTCGTTTCTACAATAAATCAAAAACTAGCTGAATGTAGTAGTGTGTGCCTGTAGTTCCACCTACTTGGAAGGCAGAAGAATTGCCGGAGCCCAGCAGGTCGACACTGGGGTGTCCAGGAGTGTGCCATTGCACTCCAGCCTGGGCGACGGAGTGAGACTCCAACTCAAAAAAATAAATAAATAAATAAAGGAAGAGATGAGGACTTAACTTAAAAAAAAAATCAGTCTGGCTGTTGTGTGGAGATGGATTGGAGAGGGGCAAAAAATAAAAACAGGGAAATCTGTTGGAGGCAGTTGCAGTTGTATAAACAAGAGAGCAAGGTGACTAAGGCGATGTCAAAGACTTGAGACAGATTGGGAATGGTGGCAACAGAGAGGGATCTGGTTTGGCCAGAGCATAAAATAGGAGAGGAGAGGAGAGGAGAGAAAGGTTTGGAAAAGGAGTGGGACTTGGTCATGGGAGTGCTTAGATGCCAGGATCTATGTTTTGGGGTCAAGAAGAGCTTTAGAAGTATTTGTGGAGTGGCAATCCACTCTGAGTTGTAAGGAGACATTTCCCTCAATAGCATGAAGCTCAGGAAAGAGGTGACAGGAGTCTGGAACCATAACCGTAAGAAGAAAAGTGGCATTGTACTCCCACTGAGAGCCCATCTCAAGGCCACTGGTGAAAGGATGTTGACAGAAGTGACCATATTGGATGCCAGCATGGACCAATGTCCTGAGCCAAGAAGAGCCCCACATCAGAAACACATGCTATGGACCCTCAGCCAAGTGTTCCCTCGACTGTCACTCATTTCCTGGAGCATTTTGTTTGCCATGAGAACTACGATGGTGTGTTTGAGAAAGGTGCCGAGCATTTAGAAACATTTGCAAACAGCCCGTTGGAACTGTGGCATAGGGAGGAGGGCAGCCCCACTGAGCCACCCCCCCCCCACCTGGCTTGTAGTGCTGCCATCCTGACGACGGAACACATTCTGTTTCCAATTTTTCCTCAGAAAGCTCTGTTTTTCATTTTACTTCTTGTCCCAAAATACGTATACAACAAACATTGTGCTTTTGGGACACAGATCTGTGCTCAATTAAAGCCTCCACTGATGTACTCCGTCTTGCTGAGTACCAGTCAACCTCACTTTGAGGTTGAGCTCAGTGGAAAAATTAAAATTAACTCTCCTTGACAGGAAGCCCCTACCCACCATAAAGACTGTTCTCTCTGGGTTTAGTAACTGGGTTTCAACATAATCAAACGGCAGTCTGAATAAGTGACAATTTGCACTTTGCTGCTTTTGGGGTTAAGGATGGAGTAGAGATGCAACAAGACTCCTTACCTGACACCTCTACATTCACCCCACTGGGCTGGCTTGCTGTGTCTGAGGGAGAAAAAAGGGCTCATGAGGACAATGAGACCTGGTGGGTATTTGAGGCCTGCTGCACATTTTCAGGGCCCTTTGGCCACCTGGGCCAGGAAGGGGAGATGGACTTCCCCTGGCTTAGTTTGCTCAGACTTCAGCTGAGGACTTCCAAGAGCATTCATAGCAGCATGAGGATCTGCAAATAAACAGAATACTTCTTATATAGACGCTATTATGAAGGCAGAGCCATCATCACAGACACCTTTGCCCAGCCCCCAGCTGGGCCAGACACCCAGCTCAGCAACTATTGGGAACAGGGTAGGGTCAGAGGGTGGTGTCTGGCACTGTAGTGCATTGTTTTTAAGTTTCATGGCCAGATAAATTATCTGCTCATGTTATGTTGAAAGAGGCTAAGAAGGCCGGGTGCGGTGGCTCAAGCCTGTAATTACAGCACTTTGGGAGGCTGAGACTAGAGGCTTGCCTGAGCCCAGGGGTTTGAGATCAGCCTGGGCAACTTGGTGAGACCTCGTCTCTACAATATATCAAAAAATTAGCTGGG